CTATTTCTGAAAGAGAAGTCTGAATTTAATCCAGCCACATAAATATAATTGAAAGTATTTGCCCTTATGGTAAAAAGATGACTCTTCTGTAGTTTACAAATTTATTTTGCGTAAACTGCACATTCTCAAACGAAATAAAAATGACTCCCAAATTATTTTCTTTTTTCTTTTTTTCAAGACAGTATACACGCCAACTAGTTAACTGATTTTTCATCCACAATTTATAAAGATACTCTTGCATAACCATAGGTTCACTATGAATCCATGACCAGGATACGTACTTACAGGTTCCTGCTTTTTTTCTGACGGAGTATATTAATCGCCGTCTCAGCCTCGCCTGTTATTAAGTGGCAGATATTCTGCGTTCAGTAAAAGTCTAGCTGACATTTTAGTCGGCTCGAGGGTTAATGACCGCATAGCATCTTTTAATCTAGACATTTTTATAAATTTACATCTACAATGCTTCAGGCTGTCTAGGCATGGGCAACGGGTAAAATTCATCTTATTAAAACTTATGTTAAACTTTCAGTTGGTCTGTGTTCTCTAGATAATAAATAAAGTTAATTATCTTCTTCATCTTGGAGTAGCCATTTGGAAGGCTATTCTTCTTTATTAATATTATTATTAATATTATTAATATTATTAATATTATTATTAATATGTTTATAATTTTTTCTTATTTCCAGCATAGAGCCGTCCTGGCTCTATGACTGGCCTTCAAAGTGTTCACGTTTCTTCATTCATAATTTCAAGAATTTTTATTCAGTCAACAGGTAGTTGTCTCGGAACAATGAGACATTTACTAATGAGGTTTCTTGATTTTAATGAGTCAAATAAATCTAATTCTTATTCATTTAAGATGATAAATACGTTCATATTTTGAGAGCAGCCTTGCGAAGGGGTTTGGCTGACCGATTTTGACATAAGATGATTGAAAATTGCTTTTGTGTGATCCTATCTACACTTGGTGTTTGTTGTGAAAATGAAATTCTTTAATATATCGTCTGCTGACTCCTGTGAATCGCAGCTGAACTTTCAAATGTTATAACTAAAGACATATTCAAGGTTGGATAGCATGCCAAAAATTACTGATGTGTTTATTATAGTACAGACTATGAATTACTATGGCCACATATCTATCGTTTAATTGGCTGAAGTCCGTCTATTTTTAAGGGAAAGTTTGAGGAATTAATTGGGTTTAATGTTTAAGAAGGTTTTAATATGCTAAAATAAGCTGGAAAACTTGAGAAGTTATCTTCGCTTACTGGGTTAAATGAAAAATAGATATAAAGTAGGGCTTTGGTTAATAAAGGTGGGCCAATCTGTGAATTCGTTTTGGTTTGTTGCAGACAAAAGTATTCACGAATTTGTGTCTGAGTCTTCAATACTCGTTCATCCCTTTCTTAATATACATAATACTAAATAGCAACCATACTGATGCTTTGAAAGGATTCAAGATATACGGACACTTACTCATTATGAATAGAAGTAACATATTCGGTTGCAATGGTAAAATACAAGTTTGTTTCATCAACAATCTCACAATATATGCAATATTGGATGAGCCTTATCTTCCTTGAAATTTACGTCTGCTCTTTGATCCAGAGTCGCTTGTGGTAGTGTGGTGTAATGGTAACATGTAGAAATTATCAGCAGTAATACCGCAACCTGGGTTCGAGCTCCGATGAGGGCGTTGATGCGACCTAGAGGAGGTCGAATCTGCAGAACACCCTGGATGGCAATTCATTTTTGGAAGCAAAACTGTGTTAAATTCAATAGCATTGTGAGGCCTATACACATCATTGTGGGGCAATTAATCTATTAGTCATTCATTATCTTATGCGGCTTTGAGTGACTAGCAATTATAGATACACGATTCAAGACTTGACTTTATGTTTTTGCAAATTTGTATTATTTTCAATCAGGCTTTGAAGAACATACTCTATGCTTGTTCTGTTTTGTCGTCCTTATGCTTTATTTTATTATAGGATTTTTGTCTGCATACATTTCCATAAGTTTTATCTACACAGTAGTAGGCATCATAAGCAAGCATTACCACCAAACTCATCCAACTTACAAGTCACAAGTTTGATCCTTGAAGAACACATGGCAACGTAGCTAATGGTCGCATTCTTTGTTACATTCTTCGATTTTGTACTGACTACACGAATAATCTTAAATCAACTTACAAACCGTTTGAAGATGAGTAAATTGAGAAGTAAAAAGGACAGAAATATTTCGAACGAGAAGTCCCATAAACAATTAAAATTAGGTAAAACAAATTATTCAATCAGATTACGCAATATGTCACCAAACACCACGTTTCATCTGAGTAGTCTATAGGAAGACATGATGACCCAGTTCGGTTGATTCGATGTCATCTTGAAGTGAGTTAAAATGGTCATTCGTTTTGAATAACTCTAAACTACAGGGCTGACGGTTGCTAAGCCTGGATTTATCGAAATATGAACCGAGGGCTGACTCGCTCAAAATAACCACTGAGTATGAGCACATTGTGACTCATGATTAATTTACACATTTCTTATCTTGAAACCGCCCTACGAAGCGATTTTTTATCTGTGCTCACCCAAAGTGATTAAGTTTACAAATAATCTCACCAAAGTGGATTCCTCAAAATATGAATTTTGAGCCTCTTTAAAGTAAGATATCCTAGACGATGAATATGAACTTCCTAGCTGGAATACACTAACTTTGTGACTATTAATAACTGCACAATCCTTTAAAGTTGACTATTTTTCGCCGAATATTTATTTTTAGTACTTACAATCTTGATTTTATACTCATTACTTGAGAGAAGGCATGGTGAACTATTTTATTCTAAACGGGTTATAAATCACACACATGTGTGACTACTTTAATTAAAGGGAATCTAACTATTTATACTCATTAATTGAGCCTTATAGCAAGAAAGAGGTGAAAAAATCATCCGCATTTTCTTTCTATTCAGGATTATTTTGGGACCAAGTTTGTCACTGGAATGTTTTTATGCCGCGTAAACATGACAGAAATTTTCATTTAAACGTGGAATTTGTCATAAAACATTCTGCTTTACTATTTCCTAATGATTATGCTGTTAAATAACATTGTGTCGAGACTTTAACCTCTTGTAGCTTTAAAGCCGATTGATAAATTGACTTGAAAAGACTTTTCAATCTAAAAATATCTTCTAAACTTAAAGTTTTAGTTATTTGAACGTAACTCTATTGAAAAACACCAGAGACTGGTTTGGGTGGTTGAATAGAACTTGTGGGCAATCAGAACTTTATGGAAAGCCAGGCTTCGTTTTACTTTTTATTGTAGGTTGGTAAAACTAAAATCACTATAACATATGCCTTTATGTTGCTTAATGCACTCAAGTCCTGAGCTAGCATGTTGCGTAGACTCTGTGGTCTGAGCGAAAGATACCTCAAATTGCTTATTATAGTTAGCCAAATGTCTTATCTATGACTGGTGAGTACTGCTTTGCAAGCTATTGAAATGAAGCTTGCAAACATATGCATTTCCTTAGTGATATTCTAACATTTTCTCTAGTTTCTATTTACGGTAAAACCGTATAGACTATAATCAGATCTTATTAATTCTTTGTTCTGTCACTGTTTAAATTTGATTTCTTTAGTCAAGGAACTATCTCATAAGATATCCACTATAAAGTTGACTAAAGTCTAGAATAATTTTACGTTTTGACTTACTACTATTCTCTTCAGTTTTTCCTTATTTTATCTTATATTACCCGCTGATTGGGCACAGGTACGCAATCGGCCATGCTGAGCACCAGATCATGGAAACGAAAATTGGGTGGCTCGACTCATTGGCCAATCAAACACAACAATTTTACACCGAACTAGCGGGTTCGGGGCCTGATCTAAAGACGAAGTACATCACTGCACTCTACTTCACCTTCTCCAGCCTCACCTCGATTGGTTTTGGCAACGTCAGTCCAAATACCAACATCGAGAAGATTTTTTCGATCGTCGTCATGCTAATGGGCTGTACGTATTCTCACCTAATTCCTTTCTTTGCAATCCTTTTTAACTTCATCTGAATTGCTTTTTTGGGTCCCCTTTCCCCACTGGGCTTTGAAATTGAGTTTATCGTATTGACTCCTTATGAATATTCAAGACTAAAAATATTTTTGAAGCAGAATCTTATGAAATCAAATATTTACCAGAGGGTTTGACTGTGATTAGTTTTCGATGCCTTAGTTTCGACTTCGAATGTCACTTCAAGAGTGGCAAACTCTGTAGTATTCTGCAGTTTCTCCCTTTTTCCACTTGGCGTCTATAATTATTTTGCCCTTAGACAAGTATTACAGGACTACCGACATGCAAACCTTTTTCCCCATTTGTGGCGCCTTCTTTTTTTGAACTGATATTAGTACACAATTTTCCTTTTTATCGCGAGTAAATTATACCTACTTACTTTTTATCACTAGACACTTTCTAGGCTGATACATTGAGCTAGTGAGTCCACATTACACTTTTTGATTAAATTTTACACTAAACAATATTGTAGTTATTAAAATTCTTTAAAAAAATATTTCCTGTTGGCAACCTCATTGATCTTTGAGGCCTGTATTCATTCTTTATGCTAAGCTTGCGTGTTACGTTAGAAAAGCTATTGAA